GAAATTGGTTTATCGACAACATAGTAGCGGACATCCAACATTAATGATTATAATAGTTTATTGATTCTTTTAATAAATAAATGTAGCAAGACTCAAACGAAAGGAGTGCTAATGATTTTATGTAATACCATATTATTATGTTTAATAATATAAGCCACTTTGATAGAACCAATTTTATCATTGAACATAGAAAAAAATTATAATACTCCCCAAATATGGAGTATAGTTCTCGTACCACTATTTAATTGACATTTATATTACTTATCAGGGAGTATGAGTCCTCCATAACAGAGTGCTAGAAATTTTATCAACATGGAAAAATTTCACAAAATATTTTCATACTCCATGAAGTTCATTAGTATGTTCAAATCTGAGCTCTGTTCTATGTGAAGATAATTATCTCATCTGCAAATGCAAGAACAGGTTTGCTAATATCTATGTTTACTCGTCATTTAATTCAACGGCATTTCCCCTATTGTATTTTCTTTTTCTCTACTATGGTTAATTGAAACAAGAGATTTATATGTTTTGTTCCTTTATCTTGTTATAAAACTTTTAATTACTATAGTTGCTGGTTTTATGCATTTATACAGAATGTCACCCCACTGATATATTATTGCACTAAACCTATCTGTCATGTACAGAATAAAAGGCATTCTAGTATTAGTGATAAATTGGGAGAGAGAATGTGTAGTCATGGCATTTATATTAGCAATCATCCATTCATTGCCCCGTTAAAATCGATTTTTGATGTCTCCTGAAATCTTCCCTTTGTTGGAGTGTAATTGCACTGGAAGCAGGAAAAGATTGTTGGTCTTGTGAATATAATCAGTAACTGGAAAGGCTATGAAAGCTGATGTAAAGTTGTAGTGAATATACACCCCCCACCCCTCACCAAAAAAAAAAAAAAGACAGTTGTACGGGCTTCATGGTGGCTGTTGATGTGGGAACGTCGTAGAGGGGCTATTTTGCTGCTGTTTCACGCATTGTTGGCTTGATTTATACTGGATTATGTATTATTATTAGTCATTCATCACTAATAACGAGACCCCTTTCCTTGAAGGAGTGCATGGTAGGACTTTTTGTTGTATGTAGTCTATTTTTGTTTAAATTGGATTCAAGTGTTCACATAAATGAACTCCAGAGCAAATTGAGTATTTGAGGCCCCTTAAAGACTAAACAACATATAGAACAATGGATATAATTACTAACTAGAAGAAAAGATTGCCTATTGATGACATATATAATATTCCTCATCGAAATTACTAAAAGCATATGAAATTACCTCCTGATTTTATGTACTCTTGAACTTCTCCAACGGTTTAGCCAGACGAATGTTCTTTAAAACATACTTGCCGGAAATAACAGAAAAATAATCAAATGTTTATTTAGAGACTTACATGCCAACTTAAATCGAAGACTTGGGGGCATGTGGAAGCTTTATTAATAAGATTGAAACGAGGGATATAGTGACATGTGAACAAGGGATGATAAACACCAGTATTGGCAACCTCTTCTCGACATCCTTAGTTTGCCCCAAACCTTCCTTTGGCACCTCGCCCTCTACTCTTTCGCCCGCCTCAATTTTGCACTTTCCCCTCACAATATTCCCATTATTGAACTCATTTACTTCACGCTTTTCAATATCTGTATTTAAATTACCATTAAATAAGTCCGGCGTTGAATTTACACTTTCTGGAATTGGATTTAATGTACAAGAAACCACTAAACGATGTCGGGAAAATCGAGACTTAGGAGGAAGCCAATTGAACTTATGATTTCTACTTCTACATAGAATTAACGGAGGAACTAACATTTTAGCTTAACTGAGTCATGTGACATATAGATCCCTTCCTCCAGACTTTTCCGTGCTTCTGAATCCAATTCCTAGTACTAACAGAGCAATCTCAAAAATAAATTCACATTCCCATAAGTCATATGCTTTCAGGAATCACTGCAATCACTATAATAAGCTACTAAAACTAACAAATTCTGGATTGCCAAAAAGTACGAAAACTAACCAAATAGATGAGAGGCGCCGATGGTCGGTGGTGGAAGGCTGCGAGACTGAGAATCCGTCTTTTTCTGTGGTTCTGTAGCGAGACTAAGAGGCCGTATTCAAGTCCTAGATTCTGAATTTGCCTATTTTGTATTTGAGATATTAGAGAATGAGGAGATTGCCGGATTGGGTTTAGGGCAAAAAGTTATGTCTTTCGTCCATGTCTTTTTCTTTATTTAATCCAGGCGGGTCGGTTCGGGTTGGCAGGTTTGGGGTGGATATTTTGTGGGTTGTTAGATTAGAATTGAAATGGGCCAAAAAATTNAAAAAACGTTGCTAAAACTCATTTATATTAACCTATGGCATCATTCACTTACGAAAATGTTGCCAAAAGACCACTTTGGCAATATTTATCAACAAATGTTGCCTTTTAAATGTTGCTAATGACTATTTTTGTTGTAATGAATATCGATTAATGACAAACTAGTGAATCCATTTACAAATGAGTTATCTGGAGAGAATAGATTGTACATTGAGAAAAATGAGCTTAAAGCTTAAATTAATGGGTCAACCTAATATGGAGACCGGAGATCCCACGGACTAGATGCAACAAGAAAACTAGTTAAGAATATGACACTATGAGAAGCACTTATGATTTTAACCCCTCCCGATTTCTATGATGTAGATAAGTGCTGCCTACAAAAGATTACTAGGGATAAACTCTGTTTTTAACGAAGACTATATCTTAAACAATACAAATGAAGTAATGTACAAACTTAACCGGTTCAACAAAAATTTTATTTAGGGGAATTCTCTAGCTTACTTACAGAACCTAAGAATGTTCGATGATGAAATAATGAACACAATAAATAACCAAAGTTTGGTATGGGAGATAATATGTTTGATTTATTATCTAGACTTACAACAACGGTCGACAGTGTAAAATGTTGTGTTCACTCATTAGCCAAGTGGATCCAATAAATTCGTAACAATGAAAGATTAAAGTGAAAGCTATCTATCTAGAGGCCTCATCTTTCATATAGTACTTTTTTTGACTTCCTTACTCTCGATCGATTTCCTCCATTTATATGGATGATTGTTGAAATTTATGGGTTGGTTAACAATTAAAATGTGTGAATTGAAAAAGTCTCTGGGTGCGATAACTAGAATGACTTTTCAAATATGAATGGTGCATTGACGAATCGTTATTTTTTGAATTGTGTGTGACTATTCAAGAAGTGTATAATATAATCATAAAAACATTTATGTACGTAGGATTGGTAAGTCTAGACCGTCAAATCATATTTCAATATGAAATGGTGCGATCTAATGGTCCAAATGAATTTGTGTCAAAAGATGCAATCATTTCAAAAAACCACGTTGAAATCTATAAATTAAACCCTCCTAATTCCATTTTCCTTACTCCAAATAAATTCCAATTAATTGTTTTCTAATTCCTTCTTTCTACATATTATATCAAAATAATTTTTAAATTATTTTCTGTTTCATGTTTGATATATATTTTAATATTTAATATAATCCGATCTAGAAGAGTATAGTCAAGTTTTGATTTGTCCGACAAAATTAATATTGTACTATACTAAATTTGGAAGAAGCATTATATATGCAAACGTCCATTTGATCATATTAATACCAGTGCGGTATGCGAAATTTGTCTTAAAAAGATTTACAATCGTATACCTCAATTCATTTCATCTGTTTCTAATTTTTGCTCATTCTACATTCCAATAAGTCACAATTTTGTGCGTATTTTTATTCGTGTATGTTGAATTCAATAATAAGTAAAAACTATATCCAGTACTTTGCACCACTAAATTGCGATTAAATTGTATTTGCATGCACATTTTTTTGGTAAATGAATATAAATACACCAATTTTCCATTAGGATACATAACAAAAGAGTAGATTGGGACACTTTATTTTTCCTGTCACTAAAATGAAACAGAAGCTTTCATCAAGCAGCATCCGTACATGGATGCAAACCTACTTGAAGATGGCTTTGTAATTCGTGTCACATCATAGCCGAACGCGGACCAGCTTCACCAGTCAATGCGACGAAGGACTCTCTGTTAGTACGATACGACTTCTTGGCCGCTGGAAAGTTGTTTGCATGAGTTTAAGCAAATGCGAAGAGACAGAGTCCACAGCGGGGATCTCTCGACTCTCTACTTTTATTAGGCTGTAAAATATTTTTATACGACTTATGCTCCATGTTGAGCAGTTTATTCATCATTCTGTAGTATATATAATGCAATTATTTAGCTTAAACAGTTAGATGAAAACTGTTGTAGCTAGTATGGCCATTCCCCCTCCCAGTTACCAGGAGGATCATAGCTACAAATAACAAAATACCAGCCGTTATTGCACTGAACCCTAGCACATCCAATGCGGACAGAATTCCTCCAGACAACCTGCGTGTAATGCCCACGCTGCTGTCCAGTAGCACACGTGTTGGAATTATAATTGTAGTACTGCTTCTCCGCAACCCACAAGTTAACCGCAGCGGTGCCTGTGAAGGAGGAGGCACTCCCCTTAGCCAGGTTTTCGCCGTAAGGACCATAGGAGTGGACAAGATTGCAGTCTCCCTTTCTTTGATTGGCGTAGTTTTGAGCGTAGGTTGCGAGTGTTGTGTTCCATGTTACGACCCCTACGCCCACTTGGCCGCGGGGTGTGTTGTGGGCAATCACGTAGTCTTGGTTGGAGTTTTGGGCGTGAGACGGGACAAGAAGGGATAACGTTATGAAACAGACAGGGAGGAAGAAGATTTTGAGCAATGCCATTGTTATTTTCTGTGATGGTAAGAGGAGTTTAGACTGTGGATGAGAAACAAAGATTTGGATGTTCAATATTTATAAGCACCCCGGGGTCCAAAGGGGGTGTTTCATTAGGGTTGAAGATAGTGCCATTTAAACAAAGGCATCCAATATTAGATATTGTAAATTTAAACTTTTAGATAAGCCGTTTATCAATCGAAAATAATATTTGACTTTGAGTCTTGTTGCTATATATTTACGAAAATTTTGCGAATGCTAAGCTTACGATTAAGAAATGGATTCCGTCTTGCATATGAAAGGCTTTGTTAAAGACGCAATTTGTCATGAACAAGCGAGAATATGCAATATAAAATTAAGAATAAGAACGCAATATTTAAGTGGAAACTCAAGACACGAAAAACCAACAATTTAATAAATATATTTCAGCTTCAAGCAACTTGCAAATAGCTTGTGGAGATTAAAAGGGGCAATAGATTTTTTACAGTTATAAGCAACCCTAAAGTCATTAGAACTTCCCCTTTGGACATGTTTAATTTTGAATCTACGTCTGTATTCTATACACTTTCTTATCAAAGAAGAGACTAAGTAGAGCTAAAGTTAAGGGTTTTTATAAATTAATTAAATGCTAATTTTATTAAATTTGCACAATGAGTCCTTTGAAATCAAGCAAGGGCCCTCTTTTCGCTTTGAATAATGTTATTCGTAGTCGTCTTCTACGACAGTCGCCGTACATAGCATATACATGGCAAGTGGTTATTTGATGCATAAGTCAATAAAAAACTGTCAGTAACTACGAATAACATTACTCTTTCGCTTTACATTCAACTTCTGTTGCATTATTAACTTTCCCAAAAAAGTGTCAACTATATATTAATTTTCAAAAATAAATTATAAAAAACTTTCTTGTCTCTTTAATAGTTTAAAACTTCCAAATAAGTCTCGTGTCTACCTATTTTTATGAAAAAAAATTATTTGTTAGATTTTTGTTTAAAAGGACCTTTTTTTTCCTCGAAGTCGTCAATGTCGAAATAAGGAGGTCAAAAGCGGCATTCCTTTTCGTGGCAAAAGTTCGATTCTATCTTTCTTGTCTTTAGTTGTCTTACCTTCTTTGTAGTCCTCGGTGATGAGACTCACCTGAAAGATTAGAGCTCAAGAACTAGAAGCGCGACTATAGGTTATATTTTGTAAAATATGCATTCAATGAAGTTTTGAAATGACATTTAGTACTATGTAAATTATATTACTATCATTTAAAATCCTTTGTGGAGTAATTAAAATATATATATACATTATGCAGTCACATGCATTATAATTTAAATCTTGTACAAATTAATTACAAAAGAATTATAATTTTGGTTCTCTATAGTTGGACTTAACCAAAACACATTCACCCACACAGAATTTCAAACTAAAATTTTCCCGTGGTGAAATCGGTCACACTTCAGCGACGAAAGAAATTTGTTACTGTTGGCATGATTTTTTGGTATGGTGTCTGTTGGTTTTTAGCTCTAATCTCAGTAAGAAATTAATTTTTCTTTTAAAATTAAGAAACCAAATAAAAATGAATTTTAGAACTTTTTTTTTTTTCTTTTTAAACCAATGACAGAGGAAAGCAACCCTCACTTATGACGGAGGAAAACCTTAGTGACAAGACAGACTTACAAATAGCAAACTCAAAAAGAAAAAAAAAACTAGACCAATCAACTCCTAAGCGGTCCAACCGAACAAGGCCACGAACATACATAGGCAAGTCAATACTAGATGTAAAACGCTGCAATTCACCTTTTGCACCCATTTTTGCTAATAAATCTGCCACTTGATTCCCTTCCATGGGTGTAACGGCTCTGTCTCAAATAAACTAATTAAATTCAATGACTCCTCCCAAAAAGAGCTCCAAAAGTTAATTGGATTAAATCTAGGTAAGGGTTCACCCTTAAGTGATCCTCCACGCAAATTTTTTCCTCCCATAGTCTTCCTTCTTGTTCCACTCTTAGATACCTCTTCTGAAAAATATGAAATGTGCACAACCCTAAATCCTTGAAGAATATCCCCTTAAGTGGCATTTTTATATTCGCACAATTAGGGCAATACGTAATTTGCACGATCTTACTTGGACTTGTAGTAGACCAATTAAGTCCTATATCTATCTTGAAGCCAAAAAAGGACCACAATGGAGTCATAAGACTCGAGCTACAATAGATGACGTTTTCAAACTAGTCAACTATTGACCAATTGAAACTCATTTATTAATTTTAGTTCTATCTATCAAATAATCAAAATTGAATTTTAGAATTGAGTGACAATTATGGAAGCAAGTCATGATTCGATAGTAATATTCTTTGATCATCATCCTGCAAGTCGACCCCAATTAGACTTGTCAATATATTGGAGCTAAAAAATGACCAATTTGCCATTCCAATATGTATAGTCCTCCATGTCTCATTTACGTAAGGCAAATTAGTCGTGAATAGATCAAACATAGAGTACAACGTTGGATTACTGAACTTAGATTCAATTGCCCACTAGAAAATCCCTAGTAAGTAATGATCTTAACGGATTCCTTATTGCAAGTATATGATCTGAAATCATTTCATCCCAATTCCCAAAACGTCGAAATCTATCTTCCAATCAAGATTTCACTTATTGGCACCTCGAAGACTTTGAGCTAGTAACTAAAGGTACATTACTCACTCAAAATTTAGATGACTCGTTCAATGATTGAGTAAAGTCTTATAAATAGAGGTGACTAATAAGTCATCTACGCGGTCTCAGTCAATTTGCGCCGATTATATCATTGTTCTTATTTCCAGAATCTAAATATATCCTAATAAGAACAATATTATCTTATCAAAATAAAGCATCCAACTTCATATTCTGATTTCGAAAGATATGGTCCCCATTCCCACCGATTTACGATTCAAGACGAAAATTTCCCTCCTTGTTTGGGTGGAGCAATGGAGACGAACTTTGTCATCCGTATATTTATTGTCCCCTTGTCGGTGTCCCTTTAGCTATAACTCCTGTGAAAAATGACACCTCACCAAAAGTTTACATATCAACTTTTTTGTTTCAAAGATTTTGCCCCTCACACACACACACACACATATATATAATGAATTATATAATATGATGTAAAGGGAAAATATTTGATGAAAAAGTTAGTTGTGGTTTAAATTGACAAATAGTAGAGTGACATGTAGTATTATATAATCCATTATATAAACTTAATGTACATGTAGCAAGATCTTTTCTTTGTTTCCGTTCTTCATAGTTTCCATGTTGTTCTTTTGAAAACCTTTACCAAGTCAGGTCACCTGCTTTTACGCGCTACTTTGAAGAGGAAAAACCCCCCATTTCCAATCTTGTTGGTTCAATGAATTAGGACCTGCACCTTACTTGAGAACAACTTTTTAATAGTACTAGATTTATTTAAAATTCGGGATTAAATTATGTGTTTATCTTTTTTCTAATTTTATACAATAATTAGTTTAATTAATTTCCAAATTCAAGACGATTTTTGCCTTATTTTTAGTTATCTAATCTAATCTTTCTTCATATTGTGGGAGTCTATCACTTGATTTTGAGAAACCCTTATTTAATAAAATTAAGAGAAGCATATTATCTCTACTAACCCTTAGAATTTACCCTTAGAGTATGTTTGATTGACTTTATTTTTATGAAAAATGTCATTTTTCCATTCAAATTCACACTTTTGAAGTGTTTGATTGACAATTTTTTTCAATTTTTTCCAACTTTTGATCATGGAAATATATTTTCCTCAAAAATAATGAAAACATTTTCTTTTAAGGAAATGTGATTTTTATTTTTCAAGTAATCTTTCTCTTTCATCTATCCACCAATAAAAAATAGACAAATATAATATTTTCTAAGTTGAAAACTAAATCAATCAAACGCTTTTAATTAATAATTTTCATACAAATAAGTTATAGACAATTGAATTACTTAGAACTTATTTTCTTTTCACGCAAATTCCACGCAATCAAACGCATCTTTAATGTCCAAGATTCTCATTAAAAGGGATTTATGAATATCATCTTAGTAGAATTTGCTCAGTTCATTCCAAAATTGCTCGACATACAATTAATGATCCTCTACCGAATTACAGTAATTTGTTATCGAACCACCGAATTCAATATTTTTATTCTATTTGTTACAGACGGACTTGTAATAGAGAATATGAAGAAATAGAAACTCCCCCAACCCCTCCAATCCTTACTTTTAAATTAGATTTTGGGTGAATAATAAACTTTTTCGAATTTGAATTTCCCATCAATTGTAATTTTTACTGTTACTGTCAGACGGTGCTCTAAAAAGCGACGTCTCGACTAGACACCACCTAAGCTCGAAGCGAGAACAAAACCCCTCGCACTTTTTTTCTCTTTTTCATTTTTTAAAATTTTTTTCAATTTTTTTTTTATTTTTTTCACGTCTAGGTGTGCCAAGCGCACCTTTTTTTTACACTTTTTAATGCCTTTCAACATTTTTTTAAGTTTTTTTTTCTTTTAATTATTAGATAATTTTTAGATTGATTTAAAAATTTAAAATAATATTAAAATGAGAAAACCTTTTTTTTACGCTTTTTTAACGCCTAGGCTTCGCCTAGACCAAAGTTCGACCTCCACATTTTATCACGCTTTACATTTTTTAGAACACTGTCAAATGTAATGGCCAAGAGGTGCGCAACATTTTAATTCTCCCTTCATTTATTAAAAACACAACATAGTAATGAAGCATTGTTAATTGACCTAAACTGAAGACTTCAAAATTTTAAATTAGAAAAGGGGAAAAAAATTGGTTATTTATCTAAAGACCCCGTGAATTTGTATTGCCAAGAAGCAGCTTAAAGGCAATAGCTTTTCCAATTTTCGGTTTTACCTGTGCCGCATGTTTAGTGGTTTATCTCTGTGATGTCTATATCATACGCACATGCAGAGACGGTGACATAAAATCCTACTAAAATCACTGGTAAAAAAGAATAATCAAAC